ACCTCCAGCTGCCGAATTCCTGCTCCCTAACCTGTGGACTCGGACAGAAGCTTTCTGTGTCACACCAGGCGGAGAAGAAGCGTAGTTGTTACCAGCTAACGTAATTAGTCCAGTCCAGATGCGGTAGTTGTAGCGGGACGAAGCGAATTCCCCCAAAAGTGTGCGCTGTAATTTGCCATCGCGCTAGCATCATTGCTGTCAATGTCCGGTAAATTAAAAATGAAGTATTTCCGGCCATTGCTTTTCAAACAAACAAGCACAAGAAAGCAAGAACAGCTTCAATAGCCTTCAGTAATAATATTTCTGAAGTGAAGCAAAAATTAAGGCAACACCAGTCACCTCAACACATAATCATTTGTAACTTATTAAGAAGTATACGTGGACCAGTAAAACAGGTTTTGCTAATAAATAGCAATAAAATCCGAACGTGGTGACGTTTCTGTGCAGTTATTCTGGTGGTCTAGTCGCTTAATTTCCGTTTTGCGTGTTTATTATTAAGACGAGCTTAACTGAAGGCTACGTCATGCCACCGCTGGAGCGCGAGACACAAACCTAGGCGCGCTACCAGGAGACCCGTCACCAGGAGACCCGTCACCTTACAGTAATGTTACAGCCCAACAACATTAGACAAACAAACTACGTTCATGTTAAACTACTTAATTTCTTTCCTGACGCGTGAGAGTTTTTTATATATATATTTGTATTTGTGGCATGAATATTATATTCGTCATTGTGTTTTCTTAAATCAAAGAATGTGGACTTTTTTCCGTTTTGAGTGGCTCGCACTGCATTTACAGCGCAAAATAAAACAAAATAGTGAAATGACAAAATAAGATTTAGAGAATGAATCGCTGAAACGGGTTGACAGCAGAATGATCTCATTCTTAATGCAGTCTCATTAGCAGGAGAGATGCAGTCATTAATTATGCAAAAACATATTTGACTTTATTGATTTGAATACGCGGCACGGTGGTTAGCACTGTTGCCGCACAGCAAGAAGGTCCTGAGTTCAATTCCACCATCAGGCCGGGGTCTTTCTGTGTGGAGTTTGCATGT